TCATGAACCGGGGACCAACGGCTGTACTTCCCGTGATCAGAGATGTCATGCCTCAGAACATCTCAGCGGTGCTGACTGGGATTGAACCCAGGCCTGCTGGGGTGAGAGGTAACTACACTTACCACTACACCACCGGCGCCGCTGGGTCAACTATGTTGGAAGTGACAAGTGGACAACATCGACATGAATCCGATCAACTTTGTTCATTTGTCAACTTGTCACTCCCAACATGGTTTACCCATTTTTTGGGTAGGTTCAGTTTTGACCGATCTGGGTGGATTCTATCCAAATTTGGGGAGTTTTAAAGTAGCGTATGTATTGTTTCATTATGTCCAACACCTACTGTGTTACCTGACTTATAACGAATATACGTTGTATACGAGTACCCCGAATACCACGTGTGACTCGTCTAATTTTGCATAGCATTTGCAATGTAAAATTAGACGAACTATACGTTGTATTCGGGTACTCGTATACAACGTATATTCGTTATAAGTCAGGTAACACAGAAGTAGCATTACAGTCCATTAAACCACTTGAACAGTATTTGAGAGACTTGAGACCTCCCTTTCCCAAACCACATACTAAACAATCTTCCAGCCCCTTTTCGTGGTAGGTTACGGGATGCAAGATCTACCGATCGATTCCATGCGATGAAGGCAAGAATGACAACTGTATCAAAACCGAATACTTCATCATTTCTCAATAGTGATGGAGTAATATGACATGTACTAAACTAAGGACACGGGTATACTGCAATAGGTCAAATTACTGGTCGCAGTCTCTGAACCACTAACTGTAAATGTAAACAGATCGTTTTTTTGCTAACCTGGTTAAAATGTTAAAATGTTTAGATAAATCCACCAGCTCAAACCTTTGTAGGGGTAAGAGGTGGGACCATCATCATCATCATAAACAGAGGGAAAAAACATTCATACATATTAATAAAACATTGTATGAACCGTGAACATTTATCAACCCCCCTCCGTTTTTGACATTAACACATATTATACAACCCCTTAGCAATAGCCAAATTTGACATTCAAGCAGAACATTGTGGCTTGAGTTTGTGCCCGAAAGTATGACCAAACTCGACGTTAAAACCTACGCGAAGGCCAAACATCTACCTGAGCAAAAGTTTCACTCGGCCACTGGAGATGTTCCTGCTAAATTAAAATATGTGTTGCCTATGCATTGATTAATTGAGAATTGAATAATTTATTTTACTTTACATCGCCATAAAATCAAGAAATATATAAAGATAAATAAATGAATTGGGGGCGAACTCGGCGTAGTTAACACCCATACCTCTCACGCCAAAGTTACGAGTTCAAATCTATCCCCCGGATCTAACCCAAGAGTGTTAAAGTGACTAAAGTAAAATAAAAAATTTATTCTCGAAAAAGCTTATCGCAATCTCATATACTCACCTGGTGAAATTTTTATGAAGTTCACTTACTTCTCGGAACTAAAATCAAGAAAAGAGGTAAAAATGAAACATCGTAGTTTTAATTTAAACAACCTGTGTTATAATTTTATTTTAAACTTTTCTTAAGCGATTAAGTTTATTTATTTTAAATAATTTATACATAATATAACAGAAATATTCTATACAAAACATTAGGTTGTATTTTTTGTTAAATATATTTTCATATATTTTTTGCATATTTTCATTCTCCACTTGTCGTTTGAACAAATTTTTCTTATTCCTTTTCTTCTTTTGTCTATTCGTCGATTTTGCTCTTTTTGTTCTATTTTTTTTTGTTGAATTATATTCAAAACCCGTTTATTTAGTTTTATTTTCTCATTTTACTTGAATAATAGGTTAATAATTCTAGATATTAAATGAATTCGACCTTAATCAATGTTTCACTTTTTGTTGGCTAATTTCAATCGATAACCGTACATCATTTTTGATCGCCTTAGGTATTTCCCACTTCCTTCCTCGTTACTATTTATTTTAAAAAAATATTTACCGATATCGTTAGTATTATAAGTTTAGTTTTTTTGCATTTTATTTAATTTGAAGGATTGTCGGCCCTTCGCTATGATGTTTTGTTCGTTTTATGCTTATGATTTGACGTTGTTTTTTTAATGTTCATAAAACATGCGCACATTTCGTTTTTGTAGTGATTTTGTTAGTATTTTGTTTCACTAATTTTCTTTTAGGGCTTAGGGCAGTGTCAGATATTTATTTAAACTTATACTCGTTTGATTTTTCATGGCTACGATAACATTTTCAATTGTGTCACGTTGTGCTGGTGACCTCATGACCATCCATTGTAGTGGCATAACGTGCGCGAGATCTATATTTTGCCATTGTCGTATAGGGAACGGGTTTGAACATTATTTGATTGATCGAACAAACATCATTCGTAGCTGATTGCTGATGTTTGTGATTTGCTCTCCACGACGATTGCTGTGGTTACTTAGTAAAAGTGGAAGGTCGTTTTGTGTAGGAAGTGTTTCATCGGGACATCTTGCTTTGCTTGAAAAGCGACAGTTGAACACAACATCAGTGCAGACGGGATTTCATAAATCGAATAATTTTCGTTTCAGTGTCGTCGTTTGGAGTAGTCTCCAAGTATTTTTTGATGATTGATACATTGGTTTCCATTTTCACTGTTATTCTATTTTGGTTTTCTTTTCATCTATGTTTCCTTCACTAGCGTCTCTGAGAAACAGTTAAAAACTATTGGTTTCTAATGTTACTTATTTTTAGTTTTAGTCTGTGTTACTATCCTTCGATTACAAAAAATAGATGAAGTAGTAACTTGACATACAAATAAACAAATCATTCTTTCGTAGAAATATGTGTACAAAATATATAGGTTTCAGTTGCAGTATATGTCATATGATCGTTTCTTTAGAGCTTTCCTTTAGCAAAATTATAGCGGTTTTTCTTTCTTTCATTATGATTGTTTAGGTTAAACAAATGGCAAATGTTCAACAATACGAGACGATCAACCAATAAAATAATAAATATTTCACAGTCATATTACTTCGCGATTACATCGGACAACAAATCTGTGCACGAATTCACTCATGAGTTAGTACAAGGAAGCAGGGATTCCTTTGTGTGCTATTAGAAAGAGCTTCTTTTGTAGGAGATTCTTTCTCATGTTTCTTTTGTTTGTATAAAATAATTCAATTCTCTTACTGTTAAGTACATTTCTCATTTATTTCACAAATTCATTTTAAAATTTTCCTTGCTTTGTTCTATGTACGTGGATTAACAAAGTAACGCATCCATTCATGGTTTCATTACACTTTTGGTTTTGATTATAATATATTTATCTGTTTTACCTACTGCTCTCGCTTGTCGAGTAATCTCTTTCTTTTTTCGTTTGTTTCCTAAAAATACATTGCCGACGCATGTCTAAATGAACAGTTCCGCTAGTGCATTTATTGGTTGTTTAATTGCTCTGAATGATTGTTGTTCAATAAAAATTCATCAAATCAATCGTTTGAAACACAGAAAACTTGTCCAACATAGTTTTGAAGAAACGGCTATCGTCGTAGGATTTTTGTTCTTAACTTTCCGATTTGAGCATGGTTGACTGTGAATATTCTTGTTGTAAAATCCTAGCTCTATTCTCAGTTTGTGCTAGAGCACTGCAACACGAAACACATGCAGGAAAAATAAAGGGCAAGGATGAATCCGGACTAGATTTTGATATAATCACTGATTGTTTTGTGCTTAAACACGCTGTTAAATCATTTTTTTTTTATCTCGGTTGCAAATTTGATGCCGTGCTTCGAAAAATATGTTCCCGATACGATATACCAATTTAAGTAGGTACACAAAGTTTTGTTTTGTTTTGGTTTTTTTTTATTAAACGGTTCTACCTTCATTTTGGCACATTGATTTGGCGTGCATATGGAGTAAGTCATGCTTTTCTTTGGCAACCATTTTTATTTCTTGATTTCGACTTGGGTTTTACGATTTCTTTCAATGGATTCAAATGAACACAGACTTTTTCCGATCTAGAACTAATCAATAAAGAGTTTACACGATTTGCTCGCTAGTATCCGTTTACTCACATAATTTCACTTTAGAAAAAAAAGTTACTCTGCGTTATCAGTTTGTTTACATGGCGGTAACTGATAAACCTTCCAACAGTAGTTAATTCGCAACTGTGAAGTATAATTTCCTCCTTTGAGAAATAAAACTCCGGTATCAACACGTTAGTATTCTCTCATCACTAGGATTGACAGTCATCCCTTGTCGAATGCGGCATGCTTATGTTATGTTTTTCTGGTCAACATGGAATATATAATTGAAAAACGCGAAACTTTTCAAAAATTGTATCCAGGCCTGGGGGTGATGCACATATTATGCCACGCTCTAAGAGGGGAGGGGAGGGGTTATGATTTTGTGACAAGCAATGCATTAGGTATAGGAAAATCGTCACGAAAGGGGGGAGGGGGGTTAATTTTTCCTCAATTTAGCGTGATAAATGGATCGTCCCTTGCTTCCATTCACACATTATTTTTCGAAATTATGGAATCATTGGATGCTATGTTATTCTGTACTTGTAAGCTACAAAAAGTGATTGAAAAGTATGTGTTTGACACATAAAACCTGTCAATTTCGCTTTCAGAGAGTCACAATCAGCGATTTTATTAATTCGCTGACTGTGAATCTCTGAATGGGAAATCGACAGCTGTCATGTTTCAATCATACAATTTTCAACTACCTCTTTTAACGTACTAGTAAAAATATCATTATAACATCTAATGATTCCATAATTTCACCCCTGGGTTTATCACAGTACTTGCACCTTATCACAACACGTGCTATGCAAAATCACGTATTGGGACAGCCGAAGACTGCTGAAGATGAAAATGTTGTTTTTAAGCAATCCTGAATAATGATTTTTTTCCATTTCGCTGAAGTTTAGATCAACGTGAAGAATCAATTAATTTTTTTCTCGAATAAAATATTCACGAAAGCATGCTTGATCAACGCGGAACCAATTATTCGCGTTCAACAAGGGCTGTGTGACTGTACTGTGTATGTGCTAATCTGTACCGATTTTGTCTATGTTGGCTAGTTAGGTACAGCACAGGTAGGTAAGTATCATTTCAATTCATACGTGTAGCCGAGATGACGCTCGCGTGTATTTGTGTGTGAATATGGGAATGTGAAAAGTTTTACAGTGTGTGTCTGTCTGCCTTAGCAACTGTGATTGTGATTGTGCATGTGTATCTGTATGTGTGACTAGTAAAATGCACACAATATTTATAGCTAAGAGACCATCTAATGTTAAACGGATGATTTTGTGATGATTTGTTTTCAATAGACTTGTTGTTAGTTTGTTGGTTGTTGCTCTTGTTGTTGTTACGTACCTTCTACTAGCGGATTATATAGTTTTTGTGTGTCTACGTATGCGTTAAAACGTCTCTAGGGATTTTCACCGGTAGTAGTGTTAGTGCCAGAATAAGTGTGAGTTTTTTATGCTTGTTGTTTGTCCACTATTTAAGTTATAGATGGTGCGAGATTAGACCATTATGTGTGATTTGCTTATTTCAGAGTGACACAAGTAACACAAACAACGAAGAAAACTTGGAAAGGAAATTATTGCATAGGTACTTTACCTTTCAGTTTCCATCGTGATTTGTGTTTACTCTGTGGTTCAATCACTACGTCTGCCCACATCCACACACATACACACCTACACATACAAATATACACACGTACATGCAGGAATCCATACGTATACACAGCTATATGTGCAAGTGTACAAATACATTGACTTATCCGGTAATCATTTGATACATAACTATAGTTTCATTTTCACTTTTTCTTTTGTTCTTAGTAAAAAGTTGATCATTTCTACAGAAATGACGTATTTAAATACATAATTTATTAATAATATAATATATATTATTATTTTGTTTTGATTTAAATTCTAGTTTTGGCGATACGACTGCGAATTTACGTTTTTATCTGGTTTTGCTTTTTTTTTCTTTTCAGGTTACATTATTTCGGTAATTACAGCGTTACTATTTTACCATTATTATTGATTACAAGGTTTTGCCCCGTTATTGTAATTCGTGGCAATCGTATCCCACATTTTGTTTTACCTACTAACTCTATCATGAAATTAGACACGACTGATGCCTAAGGTATGCATTACTGTTTGCTTCTTAAAATTTTGTCCACATTTTGTCCTCACTTTGAATTTCGAACTTTCGTTTCTTCTTTGTCTTGTCACTGTATGCCGGTGCAGTTTTGTCGACTCATGTTTCGACTTGCCTGTTGCATTGGATTGATTTCTATTAATTGCTTCATTTTTATGTAACGGTTACAATGATGTGCGTTTCCATTTTTTTTTCTTTTAGGTTTAAGATATCTTGTTATTTATTTGCAATAACCTTCACAAATTAAATTAGTTATTTTTATACGATTTTTCTTGTTTTAATGGCAGCTTTTGTGTTTTTCGAGAGTGGCTTTCGAGTTCCGGTTCCATTTCACAGTTCCACACGCGGCTCGAAATGGCACTGATTGTGGCATCACACGCCCTAACAATTCTCCGGATTCACACCCTTACCACACACGCATGATTTTGTCAACCATAATGTGCGCATACTGCTAACAGTTTCGTGTTCTCTAAATTAACTTCTGCTTTTTTTGCATTCCGAACCAACTTGATTTATTGTGTGCAGTTCACTACCGCCACTGCAAACTTTTTTTTCGTTCTTATAACCGATCTTCATCCTCTTCTTCGACATCTTCACCATTTTCTTCGTTTTCTTCTTTGTAACCAGGATGTTCCGATATTGCATAGTAATTACCATTATATATAACACCTAACTCACGTAACGCATCACCACGAATCGTTGCTTTGATAGTCCAGTTGTAGCAATCGTCAGACTCACTCTCGCGATCCAACCGCTCTACGTCTAGGATTTTGGAACTTAGTCGTTCGAGGATGATTCCAATATCTTTAATGCTAAGATGTCGCTTCTGATCCACCGACAGCTGATCGATTAGTAGCAGAAACTTTTCCGACGTGATAGTTTCATCTTCCATGACGGTATTTTCTGTTTCACTTTCGGAACTGTCCCGCTCGGGGCCAATGTCAAGGAAGCGCACGTGTCCTTTAGAAGCCGACGTCCGTCGAGAGTCCGAAAGGCTACTAGGTGGCGGTTGAGGGCTGACGGAGCCATCCTGAATGGGGGATGTGGCCACGTTTTTATGAACCGCAATCTTTCGTCCTTCTTCGTGCAGTGCACAACAGTGGAAGTCACATTCGGTTGCTCCAGGACTACCAGCTCTAGTAGGTGTGTGGGCATGATGCGCACATTCAGGAGTGTGAATATGCACAGCTCCCACAGCACTATCAAAGGAACCACCCTGTTTCGATAGTCGTCTCGCTGAATGGTAGATGGCTGACTGTGGGTCATCGTGATTGATTACCGTTATCTGTGGACTAGGGTATCGTTGTTGACTGGATACCGAACTTTTGTCCAGGGAGTTTTGAGTCGATAAGCTTTTCTTCGAAGGTGAAAATTTTTCTGAACTAGGACCATTACTCAGTACTCCTCCACCACCACTACTGCTGCCACCTTGACCTCCTCCTTGACCACCTTGTCGTTGATCCCAATGCAAAACAACGGTGACACGTCCCTTGTTATCCATAATCTTCCAAGATGGTGTTTCATCCTGCAGTTCCAAGGCATGTATAGTCTCGCAGACGATTTTAGGTATGGCAGATATCGCTACGAAAAGAAGCAAAATGAAAAGTGTTTATAGGTAATAGAAAATGTTACATTTTTGAATACCGTAAGTGACAAAGTTACTGAGTAATTGAAACAATGATAAAAAATATAATATATAAAAATATTATAGTCTGTTTTAGTTTTTCAATATAGCTTATCATTAACATTTTCAATTTGCAGTGTTTGGTGAAGAAATGAGAGTGCAAGCCGAGGATGTGAGAGGGATAAAGCGAAGACAACAAATCAAGAAGACTGGCAACTCTTCCATTTTCTGGTACGAACGCTATGAGACAGGTACAATCGCGTCATCTGCCGCTCAAAGGTAAATGCTTCGAACGAATTTGATAGCAAAGATTACATCCTCAGAAGAAAGGTTTGTGTATTTGCTCATTTTTCTATGCGTTGCTTCCACCTTCACTCAAGCGCAGCGCTATTGTATCTGTCGCTTGGATTCTGGCAAAGTTGCCAGTATTCTTGATGTCTTCGGATAAAGGCTTAATAGTCTATGGAAGTGGCTCTCAATCTTCTGTAAACTACGACCCACTTTGAGAAATTTCATAAACTTGTAACGCACCAATATGGAAGATAGATATTGTAAGGCCAAAATAACATTAAAAACTCCAATATCAATGTTATGTTATCAATGACATTGCTCCAAAACGGCTTTTAACACTCCGAACACGATGACTCCGGTAGCATGTGTAACGGCAAACTTGCAATGTTTGAAAAATCAAAGCACAGCCATTTATTGACGAATGTCAAATACATTGACGCCATTTGAAACTACATTTGGTATTAATAGATTTAATATTTATCGATACATTTCTGAGTAATGATTTTTCAAACATTGCCAATTTTCCGTTACACATTTTATCGGAGACATCGTGTTCGGAGTGTTAAAGCGCTAAAATAGCCAAACAAAAATTAAATAGCAGAAATTAACGAGACATTTGCGCTGTATTTCCAAATAAGCCTCGAGATAGCGCGGTATCATCGGTCTTGAAATACGTAACGCCTGGTAGATTTCCTTTCCGTGGTGCTGTACTGGCATTAAGATCGAACACCAAAGCCTAGTCCGATCTACTTTAAACTAGGGGAACAGGATTGTTTTTTTTTAATCAAAGGAACATATCTTAGTCCTGTTTACTTGTTATGCCTTGTTCATAGTGACATGACTCGGCTTTTTCCACCGATGATGATCTTGAAACAAGAAAACAATGAATTAGGTAGTAATTATTCATCTAGGTACGTGATTCCAATAATGTTTTATTCCCTGTTCTTTAGTTTGAAGTGGTTTAGGCTAGGGTTCTGATTCATGTCCATTATTGGTGTTATAGCTTGATTTTGATGCGAAGGAATCCTGTTTTTGACTGACAAAGGGGCTCGCCTTTGGAGGCTGTTGCAACACTTTGAAGGATATAAAGAGCGGGACCTTGCAGTTAGAGTTGGATCCTTGAGATAGAGGCAAGAATGACAACTGTATCAAAACCGAATACTTACTCCATTGTTTCTCAATAGTGATGGACATGCACTTAACTGAGGACACAATAGATCAAATAACAGTTCGCAGTGGATATATGTCCCGAACAGACGAAAACAACTGGTACACCGGGGCAAGTTGAAACGGTTTTGTAAAAGTTGAATTTTGAGGCTCTCTGAGGCAAAAAACTTACTTTTTATGAAGGTACAAATATGGTGCGTGTTGTTTCATCTTGCCCCATTCATTGAGGTAAGTTGAAACACACATATTGCATCAGTTTTACGATGAAAATTCTTATCTATTTTCTACTAAAACATGTAGATGGGAATTTACATACGTAATTAATGTAAGTAAGTATCCCCCAATGAACGTGGCAACTAGTTCAATCCATGCAGCAATATAACCATGAAATGATGATGAAATTACCGTACATCCTATTCTTAACAGTTAACACAATTATTAATAATTGTGTCAATTTTAATTCCCACTTGTTCTGATCAGAAACGGAGTAGCATTGGGTGTTTAAAAAGCACATTTTGAAAAAAATGCACATTTTTGCTATATATAATCGCTATAGCGGCGCCGGTGGTGTAGTGGTAAGCGTGATTACCTCTCATCCCAACAGGCCTGGGTTCAATCCCAGACGGTGCCGCCGGGATGTTCTGAGGCAGGACATCTCTGATCACGCCATGGGAAATAAAGCCGTTAGTCCCCGGTTCATGGGTTGATGGGTCGATAGGTAGGGCCCAGGTGTGGGAGCTACCTCTCTGGCGTCGTTAGCATTGGGGCTCAGCACGGAAAACAAGATCGACGGAAAAGAAATCAACGAAAAAAAAATATATATCGCTATCTCTTCGTTGAACGTAATTTTGTTCAGCAACTTATACCCTACTGTTACATATATAATTCATCATGTATTTTCAAATAAAGTACTTCAGTGTTTTGTTACGTTTTCCTGTTTACATGACCATTTTTCCAGGTATGTACATTGGGGTGAGTTGCAGCTTCGACAAAGTTGTTTGGTATAGTATTCTCAATCTAAGTTCGTGTTTTGCTGAAATTTGAGCAATATTTGTATTTTTGGTAAACAAATGAATAGGATCGTTTCGTCTCCCATACATTTACCCATACAAAATTTAAAATTCTCCCGCAAATCGAGATTATAACTAAAATTTTTCAAAAAATGCTTAGTTATTGTGGACCTGAATAAGCATTTAAAGAGCAGTGGGGAACCCACCCTAATGCAAATATTTGGAAAAATGGTCATGTAAACAGCAAAACATAACAAAACATTGAGGTATTTTATTTGAAAATACATTAGGCTCACCCTTAAATCCCCCTATGAATTGTATATGTAACAGTAGGGTATAAGTTGCTGAACAAAATAACGTTGAGATTAGTTGCTAATACCTGCTAACCTGCTAACCTGGAAGATACACCCCCTTAAAGATAGCGTTGACAAATTCTAAAAACGAACGTTAATCCTTAAAACGAAGAGATAGCTATTTGTTTTCTTCAGCAAAAATGTGCATTTTTGGAGCACTACAACTTTGTAGAACTTTAAAAAAATTGAAAAATTCAAACATATAAGTTATGGCGAAAAAAATTGTTTTAATGGGTTACCGTTTGTACTCAATTTTCGCCCTATAACTTCTTCCATTTGAGAGATAAAAAATTGTCGTCTTTGACAAAGTTTCATCTTTAATGTTTCCATAGATATTCATCGATTTTAACCAGACATAAAAAAGTATTTTTTTTTTATCTGAGTGTACACCAATCTTATCAAATGCTGCACCCCAAAGTTTTGTCGTAAATGGCAATATCCCACCTTTTTGATTTTGTTCCACTATGCGTCAGTGCAATTGTGGTAGTATCAAGAGGCCAGAATCACATTAGACACATCTGGGCATGTTCCTGGTTTACATTTTGTAGTTTCCAGTTCATTTCAAAACCAATAATTGGGTCAATATGTAAGAAGGGGTCTAGTATTTCATTTGATAAAATAATGTGTAGTTTAGCTGTTCATACAGTTGCTTAATTCTGTGAAAAATGTTAGCAAATGTCCCATTGATCATTCAAAAGCGCGATACGCGGACTTTTCGGAATATCCAGAGCTGTGCAAACTGATCGATCTGGAATCGCGTTCAAACATCAGTATTAATCCACAGTATATTGGCAGGTTACATATATTATCGTATGTTACAGATACAATGCTCCTCATCGTCAACTTCTAAAGATATATTTCTTATTCCGTACACAAATAAACACAGAGTGTTCATCCAATGCAGCATACCACAAATTTTAAGAGAAAATAAATTGTGGCCATTGAAATCTGTATCCTAAATATCCGCATCTTAGAATGCCCTTGTAATTCCCTTGATAGGGGAAATGGCTCTAATCTTGGCCTATGGATCTAAGATTGGACCCATCGCTAAAAATGTGCTATGTATCAATTTTATCTGGATGAACGCGTCATTGGGACGGTACCAATGGATATTTTTGGTCGCTATTGAAAATTTAGTCGATTGCTGAATTTGTATGGGCCCAAATTAGGGACATTCAGGCCGACATTACATCTATTTCCCCTACTATTTCAGAATTCATTTAAAATTGTAGACTTACAATTAAATTTCAATTGTAATCTTTTCAGATTTTCCTCGGATTTCTCTTTGAAATTCACTTGAAAGAATCCAAAAAATATCCATAGAAATTACCCTACAATTATTTTAGAACAATCCTTAGAATTAAATAACCTCAAATTTTCCGTGAAATCCTCTGCAGTGCTCTTCTGAAATTCTTCTCAGAACCTTTTTAAAATGTGTTCATTAGAAGTGCACCTAGAATCTCTGTCTCACAATCGTCATGAAGTTTTCCTCAGATCTACCTAAACATTGAACTGTTAAGTCTCTTAAAAATTCCAACTTTCAAAAATGCTCATATACAACAACCATATAATTCTTCCCACTTTCCGTGGGCCATAGCCTAATTTTCTCATTTCCGGATAGATATTTGCGTTTTTTTCCGATCCTGACTTTTTTTCGGTCTACATTTTGACGGGTATTCCAGCTGGAACCTATGTATAGAATATTCAGGATGAATTTAAAACCATTAGTAAATTTAAAAATTGCTAAATATTTGCAGAATCGTATCATACGTATCAATTTGAAAGTGTTTTGATGTATTGCATTGTTAAATTTATGAGAGAGTCGGTTGTAGCTTACAGAATTGGCACATGCGACACATGACACATGCGAGTTAGGGGAAATGCAGGTAATGTCGGCCTAAGTGTCCCTAATTTGGGCCCATACATAAATTGAGCAATCGACAAAATTTTTAATAGCAACCAAAAATATCCATGAGTAACGTCCCAATAACGCGTTCATCTAGATAAAATTGATAAATAGCAGATTTTTAGCGATGGGCCAAATATTAGATCCATAGACCAACATTAGAGACATTTCCCCTATATCACCTAAAGAAAATTCACTATTTTACGTATTTAGGTTCCATTTCTTAAAAT